ATCAGTGGGAGAGATGGAATATGCTGTGACAGAGTGATTCATTACCTGTGTAATTTTGGTCTCTGCTTTTATTTCTCTTCCTTTGTAGTCATCTGTAGTGAGTAACCATTCTGATGCAGCATTCAGTATGGCCTATGATGTTGAAGGAGCTGATGAACCTAGCAGGTAAGTAGTACTTTGATTTTTCCATGCAAAGGATCCAGGGAAGGGAGTTTAGGGGTCACCCCCCCTCCCGCTCTGAGACCAAAAAAGGAAAACAAAAGGAAAAAATGGGGAAATAATAAAACTACCCAAACTAAGTGCACCTATACATGCACCATTGTAAGGAATGTATGGCATATACCGTAAACTCGGGCTAAGTCAACATCGTACAACTTGGCAAATCATTCAATTTCAAAGATGAATTTGCACCGGGGAGATGTAAATTACTTTTGGATTTTGCCTGCCTGATGTGTATTTTAACACTGTATACTCCGTGTGCCCCCGAAGGCTTGTGAAAAAAAACACAAGCCTACTCGGATGGGACTCGAACCCATGATCTCCTGCTCACTAATGCAGACGTCTTAACCACTCGACCACTGAGCTTGTTGGTTCGAATCAGATGTAGCAGCGGGCACCGCAAACACTATTTCAAAAGACATGTCAGGCAGGGCAAAATTCAAAATTAATTTACAAATTACTAAAGTCGGCAGTCTTACGAAAGTCCTGATTGTCTCTAATGCATTTCCATAAAAATTTAAATTTCAAGCTGGCTTTTGTAAGTTGTCATTTCACCTAAGTCGGCATGTTACTTTTGGTCCCATTTTCCCCAATGCACAACAAAATCCTTTATGTAAATCGGCATTTTAAAATCCCGTTTTGGCTTCGACTTCTGCGCTACAGTTGGCAGCCACGTGGCAATGTTTGTTGAAGTTTGTTGGCACAGTCCGTGATGATCGCAGCATCGATTTACGTTCGTGTTGCATTAGTCAGGACATGTTCCAGCATGGCATTGCATGCACTGCCATCATGGATAGATCCCAAACCTTTCTCTGCCAGCACGTGCACATTTTATCAGATGTACACGCCAAGTTACGTTGCGAGTACAGGAAGTGCATGAAACTCACAAAAGCATGTCTGGCACACAGGTTCCTACTGCAAAAAATTGTAAAACAGCATGGAATAGCTGGGAGCCAGTGACCCCGCCATAACTCAAAGTACATTCCAAACTATGACACTGAAAATATGAAGCGATCAAAAACTTCTGAAATACTTCATTGAATGAGCCAGTGCACAGAACTAGATTCCCCTCTATGTTGCCAGGTGTATTAAGCGTTTATCAGTCCATGTATATGTACATGCAGGTATTCTGTTCACACTGATGGAGCGCTGTGCTTCGCAAATCCAATCCCTATGTCAAAAATCCAAAGCACTGCAAACCATGTTGAATGTATTCACTGTATCTTCTCCTTTCTCTGTGCTTGGACTAGATATTTTGAGCATTGCAACTGAATCGCATCAAACATTTCATCCACACATATGCATAGGTCATCCTTTCTTGTTGTACCATGGTCGTAGATACTAATCACGTGATGTGCTACAAGCGTGCATGTATCATTCACGCATCGCGCACACTGGGCCGCGCACTTTGCCACAGTTGATGTGTCATGTCTACTGCATTGTAATTATTGTGTAATCTTGGGTACAAGGGCAGATACATATAGCTGTGATGGTACTAGAACGTGCCAATTATTGTAGGATATGTGCTTTGTTTGAGAGACATTAAAATACTGTGTCTGTTTGCATGTGCTACTCTCTTCACTCTGATCATGACGGATCCCCCCCCCCCGGGGTTATTAGACCTCTGTTCATGCTCCACGCTACATGTATATGCTCATGGAACGCAAGTATGCTCTAATCGCTGTATCTGCAATCTGAATGGCCATTGCTGTTAAGATAAAATGCTCATGTCATTATCTCTTCGTCTGCTCTTCAATCTTGTCAGTACTTTTCAGCAGTATTTGGTGCAAATAATTTCTTGAAATTCAACCAGATCACTAAACCCCTGAATTTCAATTTGACATTTATTTTCATATTGACATCCTTGATAACAATTCATACAACAATTTGTATGTGTTAAGACAGATTATTTACAAACAGTATATATCTTTAAGTGTACATGTACAATGTATGTATCTAATGATGTCAACACGAAGAAAAAAGGTAAAGCCGAGCTTTTGTACCTTTCCCTGGGACAAGACAAAATAAAACAAGACAAAACAAAACTTAATCAACTACACACAGACTAAAACAAGACAATGTGTTTAAGTGTGAGACCCGGTAAAATACATGTATGTAAAATTATGACTTAAGCAACACAAACGATGATTTTTTAAAAAGTATAAGTATTGATGATCAAATCTTTCAGTGTTTTGGCAAATGAAACCACGGTGGTACACTCTTTTAGACCAGTATCGAGTTCATTCGAGTATATGACACCACGTTGAAATGAACTATTTCTGAAAAAGGACCCCCAGTACTTTATGAATCCCAGGTTTCCCTGGTAAACGAATTTGTTATAAATCCTAGATCCCCCAAAAAGGGGTAAACAAAGGACATCGCAATCAATAATTTTCCTTAAAATGTACCGTTCATGTGTTTCCATTTGTCAAAGTTTCAATCTATCTTACATAAGATTGTTCCAGTGAAATCTATAACCATGGTATAACAAAACAATTGTTGCCAGCAGTGACGGGGTCCATGGGTTTTGTACACCCTTGGGGGCAAATGGCACCCTTGGCTTCACCTCGAGTACCATTTGTCCTCTCGGGTGTACAAAACACCATGGACCCCTACACTGCAGGCAACAATTGTTAAATGTAAGTTGGTAATATGACAACTTGCAGTAGAAGTCGGCCATCGTGTAAGTCGTCTCAAATTTTTGGGTCCTGAGGGTGCTGACTTAGCCGGAGTTTACTGTATAACCTTTCATCATCATTTCTGGTTGTCCACAAAAATGAGACATTGAATAAATCTGTGGCCTGACCCCCCTTGGAAAAATTCCTGGATCTGCCCCTGAAAAGAGGTACAAAAGTGTGCCATAGTTTTGGGAAATCCATTTTTATGATATCAAGCTATACATGTATGTCTTCTTTTCCCCTTCCCAGCCACTGTGAGCCATGCCTATGCCAATCTCCATATAAGGAGATTATTACTTCTTGCTGGAACATAACATGGCTAGATGGAATTTGAAAACATGAGGTCAAACTGATGAACAAAAAATTTGGAAATTTATGCTTCTTAGAAACTTGTTTTGACTTTCTGACTCAAAAGTAATTTATGAATGGGTAGAAATGCACACTTTGCCAGATTAAACTGTTTGTTGAAAACGGTCTCTGGAGAATGGACCCTAAAATGTCTCTCTCCTTCAGCATGGACATAATCAGCGTAAGTGAGGGAATAAAGATGTGCCTGGCTGGATGGATTTACCCAAATATTGCTTTTCAAAAGTCTTATCCCTGCATCTGTCTTATCTTTAAAAGCCAAGACAAGTTACTGTATATCTGAGATGCAGGAGGGTCTTATGTTCAGAATGTTAATACTTTCAGAATACACAACATGGGGTACTCTACTTTAAGTGTCTTGTAGACCAAGAAAATTGTGCTTATTTTGGCTTTGAACATTCCTAATTATTTCCAGTGAATCCTGTGTATTCTGAAGTACATCAAGAGAACCCCAAAATAACGTAACCCCATAATAGCATTTAGTTTCTCCAAAAATGATTGTCATAAATTGTTTTGGTACCAAATTAAAGCTTAAGATGTTATCTCTTCAAAACTGAAGACTTCATTTAACTTTAGTAATGCCTAGTGAAAGCATCTCAATTATGTAAGACAAGTGGTTTTTTTTGTTCTGTCCAATGGGATTTACCAAAGCAACCAAAATTGAAGCTCATTGTTTAAAATCTTCAATACTTTTTACACACAAAGGATCACTGGAAAGGCTTGTAAAGTACTGAACTGGATAGAGCTCTATTGTGTTAAAACCTTTTTTATTTTCCACCAACAAACAATCAAGGTCTTAAAAATACTTGAAAGTGGTTAATGTTAAGACCAGCAACTTCTTACTAATTGATTGAGACATGGAGCTATTAAACACAAGGAGTCAGCACATACAGAGATCAAAAGGGTCAATGGTGGTCACCGCCAGCACTGCACGTGCTGCAAGGACAAAACAAATTCTGCGCTGCTTGTGGGCTACAAGGAGTGCTTGGAGTTGCATTTGCAAAGGATCGTGGGTACTGCGCATGTGTCCGTAATGCTTCCGCTTGTTCAACTTGGCCACCTTGAGATGGAAACCATCGACATCGGAGACTTAAATTTCGATAATTTTAGTGATTGTTCTGATATTCCAATGCCAATGAAAGTCTGGTTATTCTTTACATCCCCAAAACGTCGCTCTTAACAATAAACATAATTAGTAATTAATACAAATTAGTAAAAATAAAAATATGCACAAGAAAACTGAGAGAATGTAGCTGGTCCAGAGGAAAATGAAAAACACACAAAAACATGGGAGGATTCGTTGTCCTTTCTGTCATTGTCGACAACTGTCTTGGCATGAAACCTCACCACGATGTCTAATGCATCCCTGCGGCATGTCTCCACCTTCTTTTAACCGTAGGAACCACTAGGATTGCGACTTATGATATAAATCTCGCAGTTCATATTTTGGGTATTTGTTCTCTGCAGCCAGAAAAGCAAAATGCCATAACTGGCTTTAAAAATGTCCGACCTTTGCCACATAACCACCGCTGATTTGGAATTTTTGAGCGCATCTGCAAAGATCACTCACTGAGGACTACTGAAGAGAACTGCGCATCTTCTTCGTGCATCTTTTCCATCATTTATTTACTCCAGTGTGCCACAGCGAAACATGGCGAGTCTGTGGGTTATCAGCTACCTGGCGATGGCGATCACTGGGTACAAAGAATGTCTAGGGTCTTCAACATTGGAGCTGGTAACCGCGCTTTGTCTATGGAGCCAACAGGAGCAGTTAATAGGAGTAGGGTCTGTAGGGACTTCATTCTAACTCCTTGCGTTTGATAGCTCCATGATTGAGGTAAACTGCCTGCAGTTAGATTCATCTGATATTGCCTTTCCTTGAGACAAACTCATTAATTTCTGAAGCTGTACAATTACTTAGAAACCATTGCTCTTTGAAATAAGCATCACTTTTATCAAAACAAGAAATGACAAGAACCTAACATTTGTGTGATAATCTAGGATTTAAATTCAGTGACCACATGCACTCACAAAGAAGACCGTAAACATTTTCACTGGACTTAGCAAAATGAGTTTTGTTACAAACTTGAAAATAAATACCTCCACGGTGCATCATCTGCTTTAAATGAAATCTTGAAAATGAAATTTTGAGAAGACCAAAAAGAACACTTTCAGACAATTATTGTTGGAGAAAATATATGTCACTGGATAGCATTTTTGCGGGGTCACCCTGCACAGAAAGTCCTCTATATTTTGTACACATTATTGTTATAAGGCCTTTTAATATACAGGAAACATTGAAGCAATTATCTTGCTTTTCAGCATGGTCCCCCTGGAAATTCCAACTATGCAGCCAAATGTAGCCCATGGGTGTGAAAGTGCCCGCTTGTACTGTAGCAGAGTCCCTGAGCTTAAGTGGAACATGCCAGACTCTCTTGAACCAGAGGCTTTTGATGTAGGGACTCAAGAGAAAGATGGATATGCTGTAAATTTTGTTGGAGAGCTACAACACTTGAGGTCACACCTGTGGACATTTATCATAAGTTGTAGGCAGTGTATGGGTCAGGATTCCTACTACTGAGTCTAGAGTGTATCTTCTATGTTATTTTAATAACAAATATCTTGTCTAATTCATCCCATTTTTTTATCTTTCTGCTGCCAGTACGGGGCATGTTTCCAATGACTCTGCAGATCCATTTGATGACTGGTAGTGTTTTGCTTCAATCAGTGATTATGTGCGTCTGGTATATTGAAATGTAAGTCAGTACATTAATACTAATGAGAATATGTGTTTCCAAACAACGCTGTTGCTTTGGGCTGAAAAATCAAAAATGTTGAATTGTCATAACATTTGGTTCATTGCTTATGTGTGGGTCATTAACCTTAACATAAAGTTAGTGCAAGCATCCAAATATTTCTTATAGAAAATACCTCATCACTGATGTGTGTTTGGAGAATGTACATGCAGTTAAACAAACCAGCTTGCTGGATACTGTTGTGGAACAACAACTTTTAGTGACAATATCTCCCTGATTTATCTAGGGATTTAGATGGGATTCATGAAATATATACATGTATGGGGATTATACAGTCTGACTTTAAATCCAATAACATTCATGTTTGTTACTGTGTTCCATTGACTGTGCTCCATTGCTGGTTTGCTCCATCCATGAAGTGGGTATTGGTGTCAGTGAACCAACGTTGGATCACTGATGTCAATCGGTGATCCCATTGCTGGTTTGCTCCATCCATGAAGTGGGTATTGGTGTCAGTGAACCAACGCTGGATCACCGATGTCAATCGGTGATCCCATTGCTGGTTTGCTCCATCCATGAAGTGGGTATTGGTGTCAGTGAACCAACACTGGATCACCGATGTCAATCGGTGATCCTATTGCTGGTTTGCTCCATCCATGAAGTTAGTATGGTGTCAGTGAACCAACACTGGATCACTGATGTCGGTCGGTGATCCCATTGCTGGTTTGCTCCATCCATGAAGTGGGTATCGGTGTCAGTGAACCAACACTGGATCACTGATCACGATTCAGGTCCCAATGAAACAAACTGGCTGGTATTGGAGCACACTTACAACTCCAGCTGTGGTATTTATTGTGTTTTCATTGGGTTATATTACAGAGGGCCCTGTATATAGCATACCGAAGTCTTCTGGATCAATCTTCCAGACAACAGGAAATCACATTTGTCATTTGAAGGTCACATGATAATTAAGGAGCTTACTCATGTGTTTCTGTTTGGCTGTGGAAGTCCTACAACACTGGCAAGGTAGAGTTGTTTTCTTCTTCTATGTAGTTATTCCCATGCCAGTCAGTGTTGTGTTCAGCGTATCCAGCTTTTGGTGGGGGGGATGTAAAAATGAATGCTGCTTTGAGTTCATTCAATATGATAGGGGCAAACTATTAAAGCCCTACTCAAAAGTCAAAAATCTGTCCGGGCAAGTTGCCTCCCACTTACCCCCAAGCTGCACACACTGCATACACCACGGACTGTGTTTTACCTCGTGGTGTAAAACACTTGAGCATACATGTAGAGTGCAATGTGAATGAACAAGGGCACTTGGTTCACTTCTAGGACACAGATGTCTGTCTGTGCACATTCACATCATAGATTGGTATTAGTTGTATATGTATAGATACCAAGCACACCATGGTGACGACATTCAAGGAGTTATATGCACACAGAGTCGGGGGGGTGGACAGAAAAACTGAACATTCAAACAACTGAACTGTTTTTAGTTAATGAAAATTCTTTTCTACACCTGATGCTTTTGAAAGTTAAGTTGAAGTTGTGTATTGTTCCTTTATTTATTTCATTTCTTGTATGGTCATCGTTTTTAATGTCAATGGTTGAAGGTTTGTTGAGCCCGATGAGTAATAAGATGTATTTGGAGAAAATCTAGTAGGTCCATGTAGCTACATTCCTCTTGGCTACTTTGATTAGCAATCTCCATCATCTCACTGCAATTTGTGCCTATTCGCTTCACTGTGCTAAGCTTGAAGTTTGGACAATTTAAATTTAAATTATCAAATTTCAGTTGTGCCACATTTATTTTTTCAGTGTTTTGATTGATTTATTTGTGTGTCTCTCTGTTGTATTTACCTGTAGATACTGATCCTTCTATAAATTTAGGGTCAGATGTGTGACATTTTTCCTTCCCTGTTACACCTGACCTGTGTAATTTGACAGATTGATTTCAAACTATTTTTATTTGTTTGGCAGGTAATTTGCATTACTTGATTACTTTTGGAAATGAAAGAATGTGTCCTAAACTTGCAAAATTATGTGTCAGATCTAACAGCAACAGGATCAAACTTGGACCCCAAATTTATAGAATATCCCATATATATACTGGGGGTCAACATAAAAAGTAAATCGAGATAAAAATTACATGATATGCATTGTCAGGAATGATGGCCATGGCACATTCAACTTATGAGGTACATGTAAGTAGCAAAAACAAAGCAAGATTAGATTAAGGTACATTCCTTGTTTTCAAGAATGCGTTCTTAAAGCAAAGGCATTTGGTATTCTTCACACTTGCATAGTTGAGCCTTGTTAATCACATATGCAAACTTGTCACAGTGCCGATTTCAGTACCCTTAACGTCAGTCTAGTTTGTTCTGTGTCAGTAACATCACAAGCTGTATGCCATTGCAAATAGAACAATTCTGCCCTCTCTAGAGATATATTTCTCTTTCCAGTATAAAGTTTGCTATTACAGTAATTTTTATCTCGGTATACTTTTTATGTGGATACCCTATAAATTACACGTACATTGTTTGTATACCATTTTGTGATATAGAAATTATTTTGTAACAATTCTAAATTTTCTTGCACATTACTTTGGAAATTTACACTGCATTTATTTCAAAGGGCCTACTAAACACATAACAACTATTCTGTCCTGTTCATAATGGAACTTCTTACTAATTGTTGAGTTGCACAAACGAGTATTTAAATCATCACTTGGATATTGCTCTTTTTTTGACACTGGGGGTTTTTAGTTACAGGAAGTGAATTTTTGGCATGAAATGTTCCTCATTATATTTGGAGTTTGAGCTTCAGGCACTTTGCTGTATCCATGTAAGACCATGATGGGTTGGGTAAGACAGGTGTAGTTCATGTTTACACCTTGTGCTTCTCCTTGAGTGTATGTCCTACAGTCATAGACTGATGCGAGTCATTTATGGAAAATAAGAGTACATGCTGCCAGAAGTCCATGTTGAATCTACATGAAGCAATCAGATGCTAGAGAGCTGTGTTTATGAGGTCCAGGTTCAGTTAGTGTTTGCTTTTTTTTTCTAAAGTAAATTCCACATATGCATATCATTTTTATGACTGAGTTTGTCATAATTGGTCTCGCAAACACTTTTTTCTTTTGATTTGGAGTCTGTCATTCTGTCTGTTAAAGAGCCATTTCAAATTGGAATGTAGTTTGGAACTAAAATTACATGGACGTGGAAATAAGCTTTCCTACTATAGTGGCAGTGTATCCTTAATGGAAGCAGACCATAGCTGTATTCATGAAAAGTAATGAATACTTACAGCAGAACAGTCAGATTTTAAAGACATTTATTTGTAAATAGCATAAGAATGAATGCAAACGTATTTGTACAGTAGCAGTTGAACTTAAAACACCGCTTGTATTGAATTTAAATAATACAAGATTCAGAATATCCTGTACAGTTAACAAGAAACATTACATCTATGTTTGTACAAATCTTCACGTCAATACACTGCTTCAAAATAAATACTTTGTTGAAACCAATTTCTCTATTCTTTTCGGTTTTTTAAAAATATTTCTGACAAATTGAGAGGCGTAAGACAAGCAAAAGGCATTTTCTTAAACTGTTTTGTGAAAGTTTTTCTGTGAATATTGTATCATTGCAATATTTTTAGCAATAATTCATTTTTGCCTTTCTTCTTTGTTTGAAACGCTATTTTGAAGCAAAGTTTAAAGTTTGATCAAAGATTTCAAGCTCTCTTTAACAAAAATTAAAGTTAAACCTCAATGCATGCTATTTCAGGTAAAACATAATGGCAAACGTCACATGATGACTATTCTTACGAATTTGCAGTGAAAGACAACATTGAAAATCAAGATCATCGTGTGCATGACAAATTATTTGCTTCCAGTTTTAGCAACATAGTTGAGTTGTTTTGGAACTGAAAATCTGCAAGTATACACAAATTGTTTGCTGTTGTCAAACCTACCAAGGTGTTACTGGAATCTTATGATCTTCTGGGCATATTAACCAAAGTTTAGTTTCAAGATAAACTGAATGGAAAAATCTCAAGAATTACATCTTAGATGAAAGCACCATCATTGCACAACACAGATCAGAACACTTGAATACTATACTCATAGTTAATCAACTAGAATGCTAAGCAGTTTCATCTACCCATTTCTTACTGGTTCACTATTGTAACTTGTTCATGATTTGGAACACACCTTGCACATCACTATCAATTTACTGTACAAAAGCTGGTAACAGCTAAATGATTTGATATCATGTTACAAGATTTCACAAGTGCCACAAACTGTACCAAATCTTACGAGTAATCAGTAGTTTTACAGCATTCTAAAATAGGTTTTTACATTAGAAGGTTAAACATATTCCGATTTTCTCGTCGAAGGCTAGTTGATGGAATATTGACATGATTAATGGGGGGCTCACAGGAGAGATTTTGAAAAAAAGTAGCCCTTATGTATCTTACATAAACCTTTGTCGTTTGTGTTCTGTTCTTACAAAGTTACTTAGAGGAAGGGGGTGAGCTAAGAAAACTAATAAAAAGGGTGTCACTCAAAGTACGTGAAAATCGATTTTCCAAATCCAGCAACTTTGCTGGCGACGAAATTATCCAAATTATTAAAGATTACAAAAAGGAATATCTGATTGAAAAATTAACATTCTGGTAAGTGGCAGCATGGTGGCCAAGACCAGAATATCGGAGATGTTTTGTCTTTAACCTTGTAGCGCTAATATATATACTGAGTGACAGAACAATCCAATTACATCAATACATCATTTGACAATGAACAGTAAGAAACTTAGAGTGTCCCAAAAAGAGATTGGCGTAGAGAAACTGCAGCCAGAATTCTCTATTCCTTAGTTCATTACCACATCGCAAATCTTCTGAAGGTTAAACTTGACTACTTTTTAGCTTTGTTTTGGTATTTAATCCTTGTTTCTTTGTCGATTGTTTGGTTTTCGTGTGTACATTTTTCTCTGTATTTTATTTGATTTATTTTACCTGGCCGATGCAGTAAACATCACAAGAAGGTCACCAATGTTTTGGGGACACCCTTAAAATTCCGAGTGGTTACACTTCATTACAAGACTGGGAAAGCACGTAGACTTTGTTGAAAAATGGGATTCCCTGAGTGTCATAAAAACCTTGAATATGACATGACCTTGACTAGATAATGCTTTGTCCTACGATACTCATATTGATGTAAAAATGAACATGTATGTACATGTAGTCTGGCAGATTGTGAAAACATGCCACGCTTCTGTGATACAAGCAAGGTCACTTAGCTTCATATTTCTTTGTACTGTCGGCCTTCATTACCAAATTACTCTCTGTTGAATTGCCCAGGTGAAGCTACAACACTCCCTTCAAATTTGTTAGTGCACACTTTTTCAGAAACTTGTTAGAAATACCAAGATAGTGTGAAAGTTTTTAAAATTCTGTAACTTCATATAAAATTTCGAATCGAATATTCAAGAATTCTTGGTCTGTCAAAATAACTGGAGTGTTTCCTCATCAAAGAGATGCTTGTAATTGATTGTTGCAGATGTTTCGATTGAATGTAATTGAGACTTATTGAAGCGTGGTAGGCTTTCATAGTATGACAGTCATATGCACCGTAGGAGAAACCAGTGAGGTGTGTCATATAGTGTATCACTCAGATTCACACAGGAAATTGACTTTGAAGACCCAAGTCAAACCCCATTGATGCAATGCTACCCGATACGGATACACTTCAAAAGGACACTTCAACGTATTAATAAAAGCTTAGTTTGTCTCAGCACAGTTGAACATACACCACCATTGATTTAGCTAATATACATATATTTCAATACTTACTCATCATAGTTTTACAATATCCATAGAAACTGAAAGCTCGAGTGTTTTTGTTTACATTCACAGCAATTGATTAACTATGTAATCGAAATTATGACACTATCATAATTTCAGCTTCTACATCTAAGCAAGGAGACCAAATCATGATCGATGTTGGGGGATCTGTATCTACAGTTTATTCTAATTGTCCTACTTGAACAAGAACAATCCAGTTTACACGTATTTTTACAAACGTTCTTTTTTAATAGAGGTAAAGGCTGCCAGTCCATTAAGGCTGTCCTCCTACAGACATGGCATGTCGCCTCTTAGCCAGCGTCAGCTACGTGATATTGAATGAACGACCCTGCATAGCAAGCCTCTTATCACTGAGACATCATCTCGCTTATGATGTAATTCAAGATAATATAAACTGAATTGTAGACGTTAATTCTGCTTCATCTGAGCGAACATCGCACGTACGGTGTGTAACAAGATTTTCTGTAACTTGATTTTTAGATAATGGTAGTCTTGAGGACGAAACCTTGCATTATGAACAGCACTCACAACCTGTAGCTGTATGCTGTAATCAACCGCATCACTACACCACCCACATGTAGTCATCAACGGACTAATTGATGGTTAGCAAGCCCCTCAAAGATTCCCGTGTTGTAGTTGCCAGGCATCTTGGCCGTGATTTTCTTAATCAGATGATGCAGTTCCCATCCGAACTACGTCAATCTTTGGTCTCCTGGCCTCGCTTCAGAATCGTGTACTTTCATCATGAATATTCAGAGGTTCTTGCAAAGGGATGTCAGAATCGCCATATGCACGGCGGTAATCATTACCATACTTACTACGAGTCGGCTGGTTACCACTCAGCAACTTCTGGTAAGTGTGGTTGGCAGATAGAGCCATCAAGAAGTGAATCTGTATCGGGAAACAGTGAAAGGTTAGAATGTAGATTCAAAGTCAGAGGATAGAAGTTTGAGATGACCTGTAAAACGTTTGAGAAATTATGGTTTTTAGAGTGGACTGGACGAAGCCTGTTGTTTGAACAAGATTCATTTTTATTTTCAGCTTTAATATTCGTGTATTTATGCAAATGTAGTCCATTAGTCTAATTCTTACCAGAGAAATGACGATCATGATGCATGAAGCCATGGCCAGAAAGGATGACAGCCAGATTGATGCATTCTGTAGAAGACAATCATTTATATTTATATTTCATGCAGGTTCTTGGCGAGTTTCAATAATTCTTTAAGTTCAGCTGGATAAATGACTCCTTTTGATCAAGTCGGAACTATCATGTCCACATGGAATGCACAAGGCATAATTTATTTCTGATTTGGAATTCATTTTGAAGTTCAACCCAAGCTACACGCATGTACACGAACGTTTAGATATTGACCAAGCTGCCTGAATGTGGCTCCAAGTCCAACGTCTGCTTTCAATTTGGTCATGGGATGAGAAACTGCACTCGCGAGATTTAATTTCGAACCGCGTCGCTGTAAATCACTTCTATTCGGAGTTGAAAAGTACCCATTCTGCGTGGCAAGAAAAGCATTGGTTGCATCATCAGTCAGTTCAGTTTACGTTTGTAAAATGCTTTTGAGAAATTAAGGAAAAATTAATCCAGCGTAACAACATTGCGATTGCCGTGTAAAACAACAACAAAACTTGAACGCTTAATCCAGCCGCTGATTGAGGCCATATCTTTGTTGGTCATTTTAAAGACAAAATAAATAAGTTTAAAAAGTGAACACGGATTGAAATGGAGACTGGACGCTACTAATACTTGAACCGCAGGCAAGGGCGTTATCAGCATTCAGTCTCCTGAGCCGGTCTTATTAAACGTTAGTTTCAGACCGACCATGTAAGCCTACATACTTATTCCCATTCCCAGAAACAGTTGTAGATTTAGTCAAAAGAAGTCAATATAGGCCTACGACAAATTCCCAAGGATTTTGTTCAAAAATTTTACTTTCATTTTCCGGAGCACCCCCACCCATTTGATGATACATTTTTGGTGCAAGTAGCCCAAAAGAATCTCCTTATATGGACTTGGCGCGCGTGGCGAGCTCTGCGTGCCGCGTTCTGGATGTCGCGTGCATACAGCTTTACTTCTGGCCCTAATTATGCGCTTGCATCTGCGGATGGGTGCACAACTTCCAGTCGTCATGATACACCCCCTACATGTGTACATTTGTTGCAGAAACACGTAGGAAAGTCACACAAAATTTGTAGTTATCAGTTGACTGTATGAAATAATTCGGTAACCCAAGTTAGAAGCCATCACAACATGTGACGGTACCACGCTTAGGGGGAAGTGTTTCACGTTCGTTACATGCTTCTTTGACCAACAGGTTTTGCAGGTACACCTTAAGATGCTTACGTTATTGTCAAGTCTCCGTTGGGCCTGTCTTCATCAATGCATGTGGATTTATTACACATGTTACATGTAGTGTTATAGCTAATGGAACGACACCGGGTTATTACAGTCATTAAGAAACTCATTTATCGAGCTGGATTGCATTGTCACACTCCAGAAGAGATCATGTTACCAATTCTGCAGTCTACTACAGGGTATTTATCAAAATCTATCACAGGAAATGTTTCGTCTGGCAAATCTATGACTTTGGATTATCGTCCGAGTAAGAAGTGTAAAAGGTAAGTTTCTGTCGATGAATTCATTCTTCATAGTTAAAGAAGGTATTTTTAATTTGTTCTTGCACGTATTTAAAATCTTTATCGGCACTAAAACATTAGATACAGATGTCATCATGAACGTTGAAAGAATATAGTTTTTGAAATGGAAAATTCAATTTTAGAATTAAAATTGAGTCGATCCAGGTATCAGAAGTAAACAGCAAAGCACTAAGTGAAAAATAAATATAAAATGAAACAGTATTTATCATTTTCTATAAGTGTCATTGTGTTAAATTTTCGTTTTGTCCCCACTTGACCTTACTTGCAGTTGTGCCATTTTAGGGACATTTCGTTGCCTTTCATTCTTAAACTAATGTACTTTTTCAGGAACCCTTGCATTAGAGCTCTTTCTGCATTTAGATTTGCCATAATGTTAACTGTTTACCCTATTATATTGAACAGAAAACCTTTCAAATGAACAGTGTCTAACAATGTTGCCCTCATTTGTCAAGAAATCCATAAAAAATTCCCCTCTCTCTCACTTGATGCGTTGCTTATGAGTAGAAAATGATAGCGTCTAATCCCGACAATGAGTGTTCAGCACTATAATACAATTGTCGCTTTAATGCCCGATAGTGCCTGCTTCAATATCTTGTTGATTGACAAATTTCATTTATTCACCATGTTAGATTATGTCACCGAAAGGATAATACATGTACATCTGAGTATTTATAAGTTTGAATGTTCTTCTTAACCAAATGAATACGGATACATGTAATATTTAATGCCAGCATAGTTTGTCAATTCCAAGTGCCTTTTTGGTATTTTGCAACTGCTCATGAGGTGATGTGACGTTCAATATAGGCCATAGAGTTCGAGTAGTCTGAAGTCTTGCCTCAAGTCATGGAATCACGATTAATGTGCGAGGAGCTTTGTTTCAGACTTCCATATGGATTTTAATCAGTCAAGTGCTTCTCATAAATAAGGATGGATCCAGGACCAATTTTTTTCGGGGGGGGGCTGTGTTAGCCGGCCAAAAATTGAATTTTTTTTCATGCTACCTCATATGACCTTTCTGAGAGGTGAAGCAACTCCAAATCGTGTTTCGTGTTTCAAACCACTTTTTTCTTTTTGGGGGGCGGGGTGGCCCCGTAGCATCTCCCTGAATTTAGAATCTCTCTGGATCCACCCTCAGTAAGGAACTTTTTTTTTTGGTCGTCACCTTTGCACACAAGTTCTCCATTTTTTTCCCGCACACTGGCATCACGTAATCAGTTAGGTTTTGGGTGGCCGTCTTCTCAACATTCTCAACCAGACCTGCATATACAAAAGGACGACTATTTTGTAAATTTTAGAATGATGACAGGAAAAGGCCTTCAAGCACAGCATAGGAACTTGAAGTCTGAACATTGTGAATTTTACGTGTGTCAGTTGCTACATAACTGTAGCTGTCAATGTGACTTTGACCTTTAGCCTATACTGCGCTTGACAGGCAGCTTGTATCTCAAGCAAGAAAAGGTCAGGTAATTATCATGATGTCGTTGGCTGCTAGCTTTCCCAGCCTTCTGTTTAACAGATAGTATATGCCTAGGGGTATCAGAACCCGGAGCATACCAGATGAACTGGATCCTGCCGCGATGCAGACAATAAAAGAATCGTATTTGAGAAAGCTAGTTAGATCCTTCAGGAAGGATTTCTTCTTTGGAAATGATGTTAGACAACTGTGATGCATACATTGGTATTTTGGCTTTTATTATGGCTTCAGAAAATCTGGTTTTATGATCAAAGATTCTGTCCTTTAATTAAACAGCAGTTGGCCGAATTCTGTGCATTGTAATTGACCAGAAAATGACTGAATTCTGTGAACTGCGGTGTAATGAGTGTAGAAACTGTGTCAAACGGAAGATTAACTCACCATAGTGACCGAGATCAATGCAAGTGGATGATGTCTTACAGTAGGAACGAACCATCAACATGAAAGTAAACGGCATGGCTAGGACTACAGTCAAAGCAATCCAGACAGCACATAGTACGTAGGTTATCATGATCAGCTAGAATAGAAAAGAACGGAAATTATCAATGATTCATTGGTGTGGTTGGACAGGTGTACTATGTGTGGTGCCTATGCAACAGGATTCTGAACAACATACATGTGCATTAGACGTTGGGATTAGTTGGATACATGTCAGTATTGATGCGTGTACTACAGCAAGACCCAAGACTAAGTGTACCATTTCAGACCTTAGTTGACAGAGCATAGTTGGAGTGAAACGCGTGACCCTGTTCGTGCCTGTAGTACTGCAAATATTTCATTTATACTACCAAATGTAACTAGAATGCGCAGTATACAAAGTATACAACAAATACATCATGAAAAATAAAACTTAAGAAGAACATGAAGATATTGTAAACATCGTAACTGTTTGGAATCACTGGCACCATGGAGGTAATGAACATTCAATATATAACATTAATCTCTTAAAAATTATGTTTCACCTAATTATCATAATGAAAGCGTCCGGGAATATGCGGCTTCTTGTTACGGCAGACTAAACTTGACAAATATTTCCCCTATATAAATATGGCAATAGTGCCGTGTTATCGACAGAGCAGTAATAATTTCCAGCACACGATCTTGCCATTTCTGCCTGCAGCACAACATATGACCGTGATCTCTTCAGTTCTGGGCTTACGAGTGCTAGCCGTTTGTTTGCTTCTTGACTTAATACCGTTGTCATGGCTCACTTATGATCAGTAGGTCTACCCTGCTGGCCATTATTCGAAATTTCCGATACCATCAGAACAAACAGCATTGGATATAAACAGTTTTTGACAGCGCAGCTACTTTTGATGAAGACAAAATTCAGGGCAACAAATTTGCGACAATAATCGATCTTCTCGTTACAGTGAAAATCAAACGTGAAACATTGATAAAGCGATACACGTTCGTATTTTTAAAACACGAGCGGTCGCAATAATTGTATACCATGCTCTTCGACGTTTATATGTTTAATATGAAGCCTGTAATGCCCAATCGCACAGTCGCACGGCTTGCGTTTAGAGCTCGCGAATTGGAGACGTAATTGGATTGCAGATCAGTTTATTGACAGGAAAGTTCATCTTGCCAAAGGAGTCGCAGCGAGTGCACACTATAGCATGCGATCGAAGTGTAGGAGCTAATTGAAAGAAAACAATTCAATCCAGAATGTTAGAAGCTGACAGGCAAGGACAAGGCTGCTGTAGATGGACGTGGGATAGATGAAAAGCATTCAAATGATACACTTGCATGCCTCGTCACCCAGATTCTTTTTTTAATGTAGTTTTTCCCACGCAAAAAAATTCGTCAGATTGGGAAGATTCATTCAATCGTACGAGAGCGGTGTGGCTAATGCATTTGTTCAAGAGTTTTGTTTCGAGAATGTATACATTCAAAGTCGCTTTCAGACGTCAAATTTTGCTGCAACCTTATTCAAAGTTTCACCGTTATCTTTAAAGTTTACCGTTATCTGTAAATTTTAAATGGGCATTTAAAAAAATAAGAGCCACATAAATTATGCCTGCGAATCGGCCGCAAGCGACTTCGTTCATTCAAAGTTTCTTATCGTCGGTGAGTTAGGGTTTAGCCGCCTTAACAGTTTATCGTCATTTCTACCTTTATAGAATCCTTTGTATTACTTTCATTTTAAAACCGTTTTTTTATATGTTTTAGTTACTTCTCTCATATTCTCTTTTCCATAAAGCCTTGTCTGGTCTGAAAATAAAGTATCTTTCCAATTTGCTATTTGTCATTTTGTTTCATTCCGTTAACCAGTCTATTTCTCACAGCGTGCCATAACTTAGCATGAATTTTTCAATTGACTTGAGCACAGTGTCACCGAAACATGAATGAGTTCAAGACCAACAGACAATCAAGTCCAGGCCATTGGCAGCTTAATCCCGCGGCCCACCCGGTGAGCTTATTCGAAATGTTCCAGTCTCGCGTGCAGGATAAGAGTGTAGCTTCCTCAGCGGTGGCCCATCCGCGGTGCCTTGCTTCAGTAAGTCCAGTAAAGAAGAGACTACGATAGGTCCATGTGAGGCAGTGGCCTATAGGTGGGCTCCACAAGAATGTTTGAACTAGGAGCCTACTCAGGAGCCCACTACGAGCTGGTGGCGGTGTTCCTAGGTCTCTCCTCGTCACCTTCGACATTTGTATTCTGACCCAGCCGTGAGATGTTTAAGGGCCATACCACAGCACCCTAGTGTAGCACCAACCAACAGAATTTTCCATAGTACGTTCCAAGATCTCCGCTCTATACGGCAGTTTTGGCTCAACCTTTGTCACAAACAGTGACCTTTTACTTTATCACTGAGCGCCGATGACAACACCACTGTCGTGCTGTAGAGCACTGTCCACGGCTGTCCCGGGTCTTAAGTTCTTAGTCAATGGAGTTGATCTAAGCTCCAGAGAACTTGTAAACACGCTCAACCCTCAGTTAGGAGTCATTGGGGTTGTATGCGAGCACCTTGGTCTTCTTAGTGTTGAGCTGGAGACAAAAACAACCTTCAACTTCTTCAAGCGCTCCTTCTCCACTAATAACGATTGGACCGAGCATGCTCAACGGTATTTGAGACCAGAGCGATGTCATATGCCCTCCACGAAGTCCAAGTCGGCAATCGTCACAGTAAAGTGTGTGGGATTATGCGAGCGAATTGGAATGTATTGTACGCTTCAATCTGTTACTCATCACGTTTTCCTGCTAATGAATTTAAATGGTCGCATAAAGTAAATGACATACATAAACTGATGTTAAGGGTCGTTAAATTTTACGTAAAAGTGACTGACGCTTGATTGGAATTGGCAACTAATTTTGACGGTCGAATCTTTTAGTACCAAGTTGTAGAATGTGAAATGTCACTTACAATGTCTGTGCTGCACAAGCCAATGCATCTGGTATGTTCACGTCCACACGTGTTTTGTCCAGATGGGCCAGTCGTGAGGCAAGCAATCACTACCAACAAGATACCATACAAGCCCATCACAGCCACAGCAGCGATTAAAACCCAGAATAATGTATCGTTGCTGAAATTTAAAAGAAAATCATCCATGTTAGGTCACTGTGAGAAGAAAGAAGGGTGCAATGGCGTAACTAAGGGGAAGGGGCACGTGTCCTTTGAACCTCCCCCCTGCTATACAAGCCGGTGGTCATCCCTGGGTACTATCTAGTTATTTACCCTTTATACACCACTGGAGAAGTCGACCAATAAAAAGGGATATATGTAACAAGAATACGGCCAGTTCGGATTGGAAATGATAGTCATTATAGTCTAATACAAGGTTACAAAATCGTCGGTATGATTGGCCTGATCATATGCCTAGATTGGGACTTCATTGTGACGTTACAAGGGATTGGATTGGAGTAGTCATTTGTTTTTGGTGCTTATTTTATCCAGCCATGTAAATTTTCGACAGAGAAGAGTTCAATTTAACAAAATCAACAAAAATATAACGCTTTAACAACCAAAATTATATAAAATTAAAATGCAGCAAAAAGGAACTCTGCATTATTAACGTTGAATTCCCAAGGGGTAAATATGAACTAAAATTTACAATGAGAATTCGTATTTTGAAGGCTGGATACGCGCACCATTGCAACCATTTCTTTCTATACCCTTCATTAAATATTTTTAAAGAAAATATCACAAATTTATTAATTATTACCGAATGTTTAAATGACATGCAATGTCCTTGAATTATATTTTGAAAATGTCATTTTAATTGCTTGGCCCTATCTCAGAAAACTCGCTATGTTTTCGTTTACGAAAGGGCCTTTTCTGATAATAAATCAATCATAGGCCAGACTTACTTATCGCATATACTTCAAGAATACACATAAAAAACTACCCCACTTGTGAAAAATTCGTAAATCAGATTTCCCCTGATCCAATTTAAGACTGGATAATGAAAGGCGCTCGACCTTTATCTAATAAGGCTAGGCCTCAATCTCCTACATCAAGTCAAATAGCAGTACGGTGCCACCATGCTATATCTTGAAGAACTAAATAGGTTTGGTCAGTAGCCAATAAAATTCCTTTCATTACAATAATTTAAGTAGCTTATAACAAACACAATATGGAATCATTTTAGTGGTTCACACACATTCAAGCCTAAAACAGTTTATGTGTATTTGTTCAATTGAAAGACAAATAATAGCAAGTTACCTTTTTTGCAGGGTTTGACTTTAAAAGGAGCATGCTCCTCAAACCCATGACCAAAAGGATATTTTGCCTGAGTCATTTCCTGATCAGTAAAAAGACAGCAGGGACTTGGGTGAGGTTTCATTTCTGGCATAACCTTTAAAAGTCAGACAACTCAGCCTCTGCATTTAGATACTTTGTACTGAACCTTTCACAAATTTGCGTAATTAACGACATTGTTAACAGATGCAATCAACAAATGTCTTCGTGTTCAGACATCTTAAAAACGTACAAAATGAAACTTACCCTTCAAACAGTACACTGTTGCTATTGAAATTTGCGTCGACCGCGAACATCCTCTTAGCAACATCTCGAATATTGAGAATTTGATATGTCAGAAGAGCTAATCCACCAAATAGGAGAAGAAGAGCAAACAGTGTACCGTAGGGTACACGTTTGAGACAGCGGCATAACGCACAATCACAGCAGCCTCCCTCTGAAAGACAAGAACATTCAATCACAATGACTTGAATATCCAAGCAGCCCATACTGAAAACGCGTCAAGTTGTTCTGCCATGCACTTCGTATTGATGGACCAAAGAAACTCAAAACAGAACCATAAGTGCTCACTGTGATATGAGGAATCGTAACATTTCAGAAACTTTGTTATGGACAAAGTCGATAAGGACAAATTTGCTTTAGTTGATGAACTGTCAAGATTTTTAAATGACGTGTTGGAAATGATTTTTGTGGTCGGTGCAGTTATTTGACTTATTTTGGCTCTTTACTCTCTTGATTTTGTTCAAAATATCGCAAGCAATTTTCACAAAATGGAAAATGTTGCAGTCGTCAATCAACTGAATACGTTTGTCAGCTGGACTCCTGTGATTTTTGCACTACGTTTAAGCTTTTTTTACGTATTGTTTCAAAATCGGAGACGTTTTCGTTTTATCTTGAATGACCTCATCAGAAAACAAGTTAAAATTAAAATAATTTCATAAACGAGATTTAATCCGCAACTCTTTTCACCAAACATAGAAGAGATTCAGGTTGGCGTAGTGCTTCTTTCCATCTCTTTTTTCACTTCTACCTTCGGCCCAAGTTTGATTCCCGGTTCGGTCAACATGTCGATTGGCATATCAGTCCATATACTTGATTCCGTGGGCTTTACCTAGAGTATTCGTCACGAGTTTCCTCCTGCCTTTCTTTTCATTGCCTCCTCTCTACAGGTTTCTTCAGGCTTATGAGCCAAAGTGCCTGGGGCGCTTTTGAGGAATCCTTGGTGTCATTACCACAAAAAATATAATCATACAACCTTTTTTGAAGAACTGCATTAATTTTTGTATTTAACGCACTCATAGAATCTGTATCAATTTAGATTTCAAGGAAAAAGACCTGTTTGAAGAACTATGTAGTTGAGGAATGGATAATGGTAATTAATTAGCACAATCTTCACGATCAGTGTCTCAAAGGGTAGTAAAATATCGTGATCGTCTCTATTACCATTATGGTCATCGTAATTAACTTTTTGCCAACACTATTTTCACTATCGTCCATTGTTGTACTCATGTACACCGTAGCACCTCGTCACCACCATCTTTATACTCACCACCACCACAATCCCCTCTCACCATTCTCATTCTCATCATAGTACTTCTTAATATCTAGTCGTCCTTTTTCTCTTCTTCACCACTATAATTATACTCACCATCACCACGATCGCCTCTCACCATTCTCATTCTCATCATGGCACTTCTTAATGTCTAGTCGTCTTTTTCCTCTTCTTCACCACCATCATTATACTCACCATCACCACAATCCCCCTCTCACCATTCTCATGCTCATCAAAGTACTACTCAGCATCTAGTCGTCCTTTTTCTCTTCTTCATCACCATCATCATACTCTATATCACCACAGTCGCCTCTCACCATTCTCATGCTTATACTCCGTAGTATCCAACTATCCTTTTCCTCCTAACCATCTTTACCATCGTCGCCCCTATATCCTCATCGTTGCTATCCTCACATAACTTCACCATTTTTATACAGTCCACAATATCCTCCTCGGAAGCTTCTCCTCATCACTACTACCATCTCCATGTCATTGTCATACTCATTAATTTCCTCTTCAGTATCTAATCGTCCTCTTCCTCACAACCAAGCTGTCGTTGTTGGCACCACTATTGTTTCCATAAGTACTATCAGCAAACTCATATTCCGTGGCTATATCAGTAGCATTCATAATCAAACGTCGCCAAGATGCGAGTTTTCATGCCTGGTTTGCTGGGATGTCTTTGAGCCTTGAAGTCTTGTCTTTTCTGGTATTTTTCCTTCTTCTTCTGCTGCCTTTTCTCTTCTGCTTGTACAGCTTGATAGGCATCCAAACTGTCATCAGATTCCCTTGCATCTCTTGATTGACCAAGTGATGGGCATGGATTTAGAGTAAGATTACCAGCTGTGAGGTAACGATGCGCTAAAAACATTTTGTCTTCTGAGTCTTGCGAGCAGCTTGTCTGTAGGAGATGATGCTGTAAGGTGTGGATGCGTACATGGCTCAGATTTCACGATCACATAGCGATGAAGCGGAAAGGATGTGCAGAGGTGAAATGTCCTCGATTGGTGACGCCGCTTCTGTTGTCAGCTGCTTCAACACAACACCTCCCTCAAGCTCGACTTGATTCAGTCGGCCCGGCCAGACATCAGTCCACAAATTACAATTAAGGATTGCCTCACTTGCCCAGGAAATGGGAAATTATATTACGGGAAATTGATAAAGGCCACTCCGTGTCTGGCCATGGGGTGCTTGCTTACATTATTATAATGCATGACAACGGTTGGTGGATATATTGAATGACGTACAAAAAACAATCCACCAATGAATTCTGCTGAATGTTGATGTGCCAGAAGAATTCATATTTGGTTGGGTCATTATTTTAATAACTGTTGCTTTTTATATTTTCAAAAGCTCATCAAGGATTTTGAAATATTTCACCCCGTGCTGCAGATTTGAACATCATTAAGATTGTATAGCATGGCACGTTTACCCAATGGTAGCACAGTTTCATTTCGAGATAAAACCAGGACCGTTTGCTCATTACTGGCCCAACACAACAAGTTTCCAACCACTGAAAATATTAATGGATTCGCTTTTGTGGTGTAATTAGTGCTGTCAGGTTGTCATCAACTGTAACTTTTTCATGGTTTAAACACTGGATTAACTATACCCAAGAATCAAACTGAAAGCGTTGTTCACCCAAGTGTTACTGAATGAATATTTCTTCCATCAATGTTGGGCACCAGGTGAATCGCCTGTTTCGTAAACATATTACTCAATCACGTTGATTCTCACCTGATATGTGGGCAAACTTGTCTCATTTTACCCAACGGTTGTAGAAAATAGTTGTTCAAAAAATGTACTACATGCATCCTTTTTTTACCCAGTGTTTTAATTTCTTTGCTCAATAGTGAAGCGATTTACAAGGTACCCGACATTGGGCAAAAAATTGCCCAGGGTTTTTACAGTATTAATAATAATATTTAAAAAACAACCACAAACAAAAACCCGTTAGCGCGTTTACAGTTTGGCCCTAAGTAGAAACTGAAAGGGACAGAAATGTTAAGAGGGATTTAAATAATATCCAAGGGAAGGTCCAAGAAACGACAACGCCTTTGTGTTGGCAACTTCTTACAGTGTACGACATTTATGTACGACATTTCTTTCGTGACAATCTCATTTAACTTAATTGTTTTTCAATTAATCAGATTTTGGATATCTTGTAATGTACTCACCCATTGTACCCGTAAGTATCCGAAAGTGCGTCAGAAAAAAAATGCGCAGGTATTCCAAGAACTGTGGTATTTGAATCACAACGTTTCCAAATGGAAACCATTTTTTCGGGATTACTGTATAATGCGAAGACTGGCGTGCAGGATAGTCCATTTCGAAGTGCACATTGACTCCAAGCGGCCAGAAATACTCCGTGGCTGTTACTTTGCAATGAGAAGTTCACTTTCTATATTTGAAAAAGTCCACAAACGAAACGTAGGTTCCATACAGGAGAAATATTCCGCTCGTATATTAAACTGAACCTTTGTAGGCCTAAATATTGGCCAAGAAGCTTTGACAAGTAGCTAAGACGGAGTGCGATGTGCCCTATAGATCCATTCCTCAGTCTTGCGTAGGGGAAGGAACCTTATTTCCGATCTTAATTTGCTATCAGAGGGTATTCCCAGGCAAGCAGTGTGAAAGGTTGGACACTGACTGGGTTGACGGATTCCCAGTATCCTTCACTCCCGGTCCAGTCATGAAAACAGTCATTCATACTCACTTTCAAACACCTTTGACCCCGACTGTCTCTGCCTGTCATTTGATGGGACAAAACGTTTGGCCCCCGTGACTCGTAAATTTCTTGCTTAAAACAAGCAATGTGTAGTTCCTTGTATTTTTTGTTAATAGGTTTTCCCAGCCAATTTCAGAAAATGTGTAAATGAATTAGTAATGGCAGCATTCATTTTCGAGCAAAATGGAATGAACATTCAAATCCCTGTTTCTTTTTAACAATTAACAATTCTATTTCAGTGAGGGTGCATTCAGTCGTATAAAGTCAGCGTTCCTGATATTGCACTGATTTAGAACGTTAACATTCACCTTTGCGCGAAACTGAATGCACCTCTGCAGTCCTGCATTCATCTTGATTTGAACTAAAATATGCAGGCGATTTTGCGCGAAGTGTTATTTAAGGTATGCCTGGTCAAGAATTGGAATTCGCTTGTGTGCTAACAGAAGTTATATTCTTAGAAGGGTTGAGTTGATTGGTTAAATGTTTGAATATTCATGATTTAAGTAACCCATTCATGTTGTCATCGGAAACTACCGACTATTGTACGAGTCCAAAACAACAAACACCGACGCTGGGGTAACCTTTCCTACTCGCGCTAAGTTTTTGCCACAATCACATAAAAGGTTACAAATGGCCTTCTTGCAATGGCTGAAAGGGAAGATACAGAAAAATCATAGACTTTAATTGGTGTACAGTTTGAAAACAAACACACTCTCCTTCATGATAAACATTACATTCATTATCAAAGCGGTGATGATTTCTGTAACCCCGAATATTTCTAATCAAATTGAACGCAAACTTTGTGAATTTGAATTACAGCAAATGAAAATGAATACTTCATCCCGACGGTTTACGGTGAAAAGACAGATTTTCAGTGAATAAGATTGCACATTGGTAACAATCAGCAACGAATACATCAAATCGAAATCCTAATGACTTATTTGTAACGTCTTAAACGAAACATAATGCACATTCATTTATTTGAAGGATGCAAAACGAAGTCGAATGCTCGTATCCGAAAATAAAACCAGGTTTTAAGTCGTTTTCAAAATCCACGCCAAATTGAATATTTATTTTACGAATTAAACATCGCATTTTCCTAAACTAGCCGGGAAAACCTATATTTGGATGTGACATTTGCCAAAACTTAGAAGCACATCACAGTCCCGGACAGCAGTCCGTACGAGTGACACTGCGACACAAAAGACTTTCCCAGAAGGTCGGATAGTAATAGCGCCCTCGTACAATGTGACGTTGTTCTACGACCTCACTCGCCACTCCCTTTTCTACCGATTGTCATAACCGCGCACCGACTGAGAGATGCTTGACGCAAATGTACATGTACTTATAACGCACATTGAACGACCTCTCAATTACGAATGCATCCGCAGCGTGCAAACCTTTCAAAATTTCAACCAATCTTAGGCCGTGCTTGAAACGGGCATCCTGATCTTGGGATGATTTCACAGCAGAGATCCAAACCTAGCTGTAGAAAATAGATTTAGGTCCATCATCGTAAGAAGTGAGCTGGCGCCCTTTTCTGTTTGATGCCGTGCAGTTGACATGCATCTCAATACTGAGGAGCACTTAGGGGAAAATAGATATGTCGTTTGCTCGTTGATGCGAGGCGTCTGTCGTTGGCTATATTAGTCATTCTTCACGTCGTTTTGTACAGCGTCCCCGTGTCATTATGCAGACGCATTTGTTGCGCTGCCTGCATAATGTTGATAGTGTGATACACAGTCCCGTCAGCAATGCATCAATACAGTACGTGCAGTGCGATGATCGCAGCTACAAACGTTAAGAGCACTCACCTTGTGAAGAATGTAATTTTTGTCCAGTGTGTTTGGGCCCCGGGAGTTATATTCATTAATTGCTTGAAATATATTTCCGAAACAGAAAGCTATGCAAGTTCATTAGTTTCATTATTTGCAAATAATACTTTTATGAGTCCGTCTACAGTTTACTCATCCATAGAGCTATATGCCTTACTTGAAGCCACATTAGCATTTTGCATACATGCTTTTATTTCTTACCAGTGAAACTACGATTCTGTTTCATCTATCAGTAAATCATTTTGTAAATATTGCTCTCTATTAATTGACGATAACAAATGCGCCAAAACAGTGAACTATGATTCTCACATAAACCATCAAGTCCAGCTGATCGATGGAAAGTCCAATCCGGGATATGAAATTAATGCAAACAAATATTTCACTAATGATACTACAATATCATTACAGATGTGAGACCTGATTACAGGCTGACACAAAGATTAAGGGTGTAACATTCTTGAAATTGTCCTATCCCTGTTTCCATGAAGGTTGTTAGTAACTGCGTCATAGATAAATTTCAACACTTGACAGCACTTTACTGTTACCGCGCGTGTTCAACCGGGTCAGCGTAGAGGGCAGTATCGTGATTGAACGTGTGGTTTAATAATAATAATTATTTACTCGGTGGCGCCGGAAACGTTGAACTGAACACATGTCATTTCGATAAATAATTGTGATTATACTCATGCAAACAGACCTTTGAACCTACATCTTGATTACATACAACTTGAAATGGTTAATATTCTTTTAATGTCTTCGCTGATGTTAAACTCGATCGGAGAATAATTTTAAACCCAACTCCTAGTTCATGTCATTACAAACTCCATTACTTAATGTCCTGAATTGAAGTAATTAAGATTAAACCACTAACACGACGGTAATCACTGCTCTGATGGTATACAGCAGTGTGACCTTCCTTTGATGTTGTAAGCTTGCATACAAGCTACATCCATGCCAGATTTATGGCGGGAGACTTATTTAAGCTACTACTAGGATTCTATCGTTCGAGTGTAACTTGGATTTACGTGCTATGCACTGTTATAATGACAAATCACATCCGTGTGTGTTGGGGAGGTGTCTATAAGGACACAGATCCTCTTGACCCATCTGACGACTCGTTCAGTGGTGTGTTCTGTGCTGGATGCTGATTTACAATTGACATAAAATGACCAGTTTAGTTGAACTACTAATCACTAAAATAATGTAAGATGGTCTTTGATATGGCCAGACATCGTTACAAACTTTCCGTTTGTAAACATAATCACAACAAACATGGGCTTGAATTCCGGTAATGTTTGGCATACATCCCCACCACTTTGAACGCGGGTTCACACCCCCACTTTGTGAACGGGGGCTCACACCCACTTTGTAAACAGTGGGGCTTTGATCAGCCTCAACTTTTGATGTGCAAAATAGGGAAATTTTGGAAGTGCAAAGCAAAGAAAACGTATATTAGGAGGTTTCTTCAAACTTTCCAACAGCCAAAAATGAGAACAAACATTATGAAAAGATTGAAATGTACCGTTTCGTTAATAAATGAGGTAGGCCTATGTGTCATCCTGCAATACAATACGTACGATGCACATCCGTATCGGTATCATGAGA